TRMSAAGCWKATTGACTGAGCAATTTGACTATGAAGAGACACTGGCTGGCCAGTCCCCCTGAGAAGGCAGCAACAGCCAGGCAACCAGCCAAACATGCTTCCTGGCAGGAAGGGACACCAACAGCACTGGCCAGCCAAAGGCACTCGTGTGCTGGTCACCTGCCAGCAGAGTGCACGCTGCTGCTTAGCCACCAGCACAGGGGGGATGTACCTGGTGCAGGATAAGGCAGGAAGGAGAGAAGTGGCTGGGAAGAGCAAGAAGGGCTGTAGTGAAAACAGGGAATAGAAGGACGGAAGAGCCATTATAGCAGAAGAGAAAGGTGTGGTCAAATGTGATGGTGACAACTAGGAGCTCCAACCTTCATCTGTCCAGGAAAGCTCAGAAACCTTGATTCAACAGCTTTGTAATTATATGACATAAAACTACTACACATAGTTTAGAACATACATTTGATCAAACACTGGGTTTAATGTCTTCTTTGATACATGTGTTTTTCTTCTTCCTGAGCGTCTCTTATCGGGCAGTAAATACACTCGCACGTACGGGTCAGATCCTTCTTCTGAAAACGCGATTAGATTTCTGCGGCCATGAAAAACGAGGAAAAGCACTTAGAAAATCAACAGGACATTGCTGAATGTAAAGTGTCTACACTACTATCACTTCATTTAGTACATGAAGCAGTTCTGGAGCATCCTGCACAAAGTAAGGTGTGCAGGATACAGCACACAGGTAACAGCAGTGGAAAACAAAAACTAAAACAAATGCCAAGCAGTGACTTGTTCAACACCAGAGAAATGGTAAACAGACAACAGAGGTGGGAATACGTTTCCTAAATTCCAAATCAAAGTCCTGATATGGCTCCTCAAAAATCATGTGTTTTAGCCATTCTGTGCAAAATTCAGTCTCTTAGACACAACTTCCAGACACTGCTGATAAAAATCTATAGGTCATTTTCATTTAAAATCTGACAGAAGCATAATAGACAAATACAAAATCACAGCAAAATCTTCAACAAAGTTTTTAGTGATTCTGATGTTTACAGATATGTTACCTTAAAAATAACAAAGACAACCAATTTAAAAGTAAGGCAAGCTATGAAAAATTTACAAAGAAATATAAAACGAAATTGGGTATTTTGTGCTCACCTGCAGGAATGCACCACCACAATCAATTTGTTTCTTTGTGAACTGTGACGAATTGTTAGCTGAATCTGTCCTAGTGGAGACTGCCCCAGGGTTGTTCCACTGCAGGAAAAAGCAGAACATTACGCTTAGTTTTTAAAATGCGTATTAAAAGTAAGGCCCAACTGAAAGATATGCCAGGTAGTTTTCCCAGAAATCATGAATTATCCATTTAATTTTTCTCTAAACCAATGTGAAAGAGAGCACATGACCATGTTCCCATCAGTTTCATGTTCCTTGTCCAAAAACTCTGCTCTCCAAAATAAGCCGGGTATTCTTGTCAGTTTGGAGGTCAGCTGCTCCTCAGTACTTTGAAACCCATTATCAGTAAAGAACTTGCTTACCCTAAAATAAACATTAAAGCAATGTCTAGGAAACTGGAGAGAACAGTGGTGCAAACTGCAGTGAAAACCTCAGTGATGGGCTACTCTTACCTATGGCCCAGAGCCAATCATAACAATATAGATATTCTTGGGATTAAGATAGTGATACTTAAACCCACTTATTGTCTTAAAGCTCAAACCACAGCATAAACACAACCACTTCACTTTTCTATAGCTAATATCACAATCAAAGTAAGATTAGAATCAATTTACACTTACAAATACATGTCATGCCTAAATAAAAAGCAAACACCATGTTTAGGAATTTTGAATAGGCCAATATTTGCAGAGCTCCCTCATCTCCATGAAATGCTCATTTTAGTTTGTGTAAACTTACTATGAGTATTTTCCATATATTTCATATTTTTCCATATTGCACAGGACAGTATATGGCATATTTAGCATTTTTCAGTCACCTGAAGTCACTTCAAAGGAGAGGCCTGCCTCTTGTGAATACCTACTGCAGAGTGACTGCTCCATTAAAATTCTCAAGTAACTCCCTTTAAAAATTAGAATGAAGCACTTCAGTATTTTCTTAGTTCAAAAAGATAAAAAATGACCAGAGCACCTAAAAATTTGTGGCCTGCAATAAATGACCTCTTTACCTGGAGCTTTACCACTCTTATCAAATGAGAAATTATGACATTTGTGTATGAAATAAGGAGTAGTATTTCAATATTTATCATGATTAACAAAGTGTAACCCAGTTTTGGGCCAGAAGAAAGACTGGTAAAATGAAGACAAGTCAGCAGAGGCCCATAAAGATAAATGGGGGTCTGGAGCTCATAAGCAGGTGGTGGATTTGTACAAACTGAAGAGGCAGCCAACAGCAGACTCAGCTGCAGCCTTTCAGTACTTAAAACAGACATTCCAGAGAAGATCGAGTCTGGCTCCTCGGGGCTGTACACAGTAAAATAACAAGAGGTCACAGACAACTTGCAGCAAGATAAATTTCAATAGAAATGAGAAATGTTTTCACAGTGGAGTGGTTAAGCACCAGAGTTGTTGAGAAGGTTTATAGAATCTCCATCCTTGGAGATATTAAAACTTGTTTGGACAAGGCCCAAGAAACCTGATTCAACTTTGAAGAGAGGCTTGACTGACCTCCAGAGGTTCCATCCAACCTATATTATTGTATTGATTTTGTGAACTCTGATAGAGAAAAAGATGAATCAGTTCAATCCCTTACAAATAAAAAATTAAAATATTTCTAATTAGGTTCACAGAGAAGCTACATGAGTAGGGAAGGAATGGTTTCCACTCTCCCATTCAGAGCAGAACTGCTGCTCAGCTGCCTGTACTTGGTATGTACAGCTGCCCATTGGCCATTGCCATTGAGGCAAGTTAAAAAAAATAAATCAAGAATTTAAGGAAGCACGGCTGCAGCAATCCTGACTGACTGAACAGTAACTGACTATTCATTTAACATTCTTTGTAGTCAACTATCCCTCTGAGTAATTAAAAAATACCAGCTATATTCAACCTTAATTGGTTTAATTAATGCTAATAGGATTCAGTGGTGAAAACAGGGAACTATTGCATGGAACTACAGAGTGCAGCCACGAGAACTAGGTGGACTTTATCTTTCAGATGACGATGGCCGTGGTAACTTCTAATTGCAGAATCTGTCTTAACTGAGGTACCGAGAACAAGCAGAAAATCACAGTGACAGAACAGTGGAAAAATATGACTGCAGTGAGAGCTAAGCACTCCTCCTTTGGCTGCACTGGTAACATTTTTTGTAAACCAGCTTAGATGTGCTGCAAACCCAAGTGATTCAGGCCCTACTTCTCCAGCTGCCGGAGCCTCTGGCGCAGCTCCTGCGTGGCGATGGGCAGGGAGATGTCGGAGGCGATGCTGGGAGTGGGCTCCTTGACCGACAGGTGGCTGGGGGAATAGGAGAAGTTGGAGGCGTGCAGGCTGGAGGAGCTGCGGCTCAGATCCGTCGGCCACTGCGGGCTGGCATTGGCAGCCTGACTTTTTTCAGCTGCATCAGTTTTTTTATCACTGTCAGTCACTGGGGAAGCTGGAAGAGGCTTGTTTGAGTCGGGTGTAGGCGAGACGGGAACCTGAGGCTTGAAAGATGATTTTCTTGCATCTTTGGAAACAGATGGCCTTTTTACTTGGGCTGAGTGTTGATGATCTGGAGATCTCGCTTGCTTTTCAAGAGAAAGGACCTAGATACAGGAGAAATACAGATGAGATTACTATTTTGAGTATAAAAAACAGGAATAAATTTGTTTCTACAAGAGTACTGGCTTGTGACAAGTTGTAAAGTTCAGACGCTAAAGTAGAATCAAAAATATTCACATTTATTCACTCTATAACAGGAAATGTTTTGCATGGCAAAACACAGCTCCACCTTCTTTGTGGCAACTGCAGTAACTTTGAAACAGTGTGAAATTCTCCATTAATTTAGAATTATTCTCATTATTCTCATTATTCCCTTCCCATATTCTATGTGCTTCTGGTGCAAGTGCTATTTAATTTGTAGCTCTAGCTATCTGGAAAGCTATTCTATTTCTTTCTTCTAGTTTTTTGAAATTTAATCTTACATCACAATTTTTTCTCACTCGTTGTCCGTACTTTCTCTTGTATAGGTTATTTTAATTTATTAATGACATGTAAACAACAAAGGGTTTTAGAAAAGAAAAAATAAGTTTGACAGTGTTTGCAAAGAGATATACTACCTTATTAAATCAAATAATTTAGCTGGGGAAAAAGAAAACCAACTTTCAAGTATGCATGTTTTGTCTTCAAAACTCCAGTGTGCTTGAAAGATGGTTTGAATTTGTCCAGGACTATGAACATACTTCCTTTCCCCATAAACTTTATTCCTTTTAAATCATCAAGACCTCAGTTCCATTTCTAGACAAAGGTGATTTCTGATCTGTACCCTACTGAGTCACAAGAGATTTGAAGGAATCCAGATTCCTAATGTGATTTCCGAACCTAAAACCACGGGGAACCTCAGTTTTAATTAATGCAACTGACACTGTTTTGTTTGAAACATTGTCTGTTTTTTAAATAGAACATTTTTAAATTAAAGGTTATTTTGTGTACTGATAGCACTGCAACAACTAAGGACACTTGGCATTTGACATCAAAGGAAATGTACTATTATCTTCTTCAAAAAGCCAGTAGACCAGGAGCCACAACAGCCCTAAATATTCAGACATTTACAGTGTGAAAAGTTTTAGAGTACCCTGAGTGCAATCTTCATGTTTATAGTGCTGTTTGGACCAGAGTTGCTCAACTGGAACCGCTGATGCATAGTTAAGTCTTCACTCTCTAGCAACTGGCTTAGAGGCAGCTTGAAGTTCCCCAAAGAACACTGGTGCTGTTCATCCCTCACCTGAAGTAACACAAAAGCCAAGTCATTTTGCATCATCTGCTTTTGTAAGAATTAAGAGAAAGAAAAGGAAATTTTATTTTAAACAAATAAAATCCAAACAATACTGTAGTTCGTTCTTAAACCAAATTTCCTTGATTTTAAGATTACTTTACATTGATGAAGGTAAAAGCAAATACACTCAATGCCTAGTTTCTTCAACTCTGCCTTCTACAGCAAAAGCAGAACAGAGCTAACCATCACATCTACATCTCCCTGATCCACAATCAAAATAATTACATGGTTTCCAAACTCTGTGTGAAAATGAATTTCCACAACTGTTATAGGAAGAGTAACTAAGACAGTCCTCATTTACACTTCAGTTGCTTTGAACTATGTAAAATGATATGTCAGCAGTGTAAAAGGATATCTTCTTCAGTATTTGGATAAAGCAAATACTTCCTTGGTATGAGGAATAAAATCAGCCACATGTAACAGAAGTTTCTGTTAGCAATTAAGGCTGCTAGTTCAAAACAGGTATCCATAATTTATTTGGTTTTTGGGGGTTGGGTTTTTGTTTTTTGGGGGTTTTTTTTGTTGTTGGTTGGTTGGTTTGGTTTTTTTTAGAGAAGACAACCATTAACTATGTTTTTCTAGTGAGAGTGTGGTTATAGTCTTTCTTTCTTTTAGTAGTAAATGGAAATAAACATTTCATAGCCTGGTCTTAAAAAAAACACTTAAAGTATAATTTTCATGGTGTTCACCATTAAGTCTTATTTCATAACAGCTTTTAATGTCTGAATGTTACTACTGCAATGTCTTAGGAAAGAAAGTGTGAGAGCGAGACAACGTACCTCAACTTCA